CTACTCTTTGATTATATATGCTATGCCGAGTACCCGGAAAAGGAGGAGGATAAAGTGCACACTCTCACGCACTACAATGTGTTGTCCAAGCTTGTTAAGGATACATCTTGGACTTTCTTATTCGAATGCCCCCCAGATTTGGCCTGGGATATGTTTACAAGGACTTTGAGCACACTGGTAGCGCAAGCATCGGAACAGAAGTCCTTCCAACCCAAAAACCAGAGTAAGTCAATTCTGAGGAGCAGAACACGTAAATGTATGTCCCGGAGGGATTTGGCATGGCGAAATCACCAGGGTTGCCCGAATGCCGAAACCTGGACTGCATACGTGACACATCGTAACTTCTGTGTGAAACTGATCCGCGAGGACAAGGTCACGCATCAGCAGAAGTTAATGAAGCGATTCTGCACTAACCACAAACTCCTGTATAGGCACATTAACGGCCTTCGAAAGGTAAAGCGAGGGGTTCCGGCGCTAGTCACAGCTGATGGATACACGCGGTCAGCAATGGAAGCAGCTGATCTCCTACGGCTTCATTACTCTCAAACGTTCCAACAAGTATCGAGCCCAAACATTCACCTCATTTCTAATACTCCACCCTCTGGTTTAGAAAACATCACCTTCACTACGGAGGCTGTGTTGAAGAAGTTGTTATCCTTGCGTATCCACAGTTCTCCCGGAGCTGATAACATCCGTCCAAAGGCTCTACAGGCAGTAGCTAGTGATCTAGCAGAACCACTGGCTGTTTTCTATCAGCGATGTCTAGAGGAAAACCTTATTCCACCAGTATGGAAGCAAGGGGTCATCACTCCTATCCATAAAGGAGGCAGCCGCACTGATCCTGCAAACTACCGTCCAATAACATTACTTCCCGTACTATCCAAAGTGATGGAATCAATCGTCGCAGACGCGCTGATGCAATATTTGGAAAGCCACAATTTAATAGCCCCAGAGCAACATGGCTTTCGTCAAAAGCATTCGTGTAACACTAACCTATTAATTGCACGTAATAGCTGGACTGAAGCTGTTGATGATGGAGTTGGAGTCGATGTCATCTACCTGGACTTTTCAAAAGCGTTTGATCGTTTAGACCATCGAGTTCTCCTTCAGAAGCTTCGGAACTACGGCATTGGCGATCCAATCCTGAGTTGGATTAGCAATTTTCTACAAGAACGACGGCTAGTGGTGAGAGTCCGAGAATCATTTTCTCATGCAATCGACGTGACGTGTGGAGTACCACAAGGCTCGGTTCTTGGACCTCGTCTATTCTTGGTGTTCATTAACGATTTGGCGAGATCAATTACTTCCGATTTCTTATTTTTCGCTGATGATATCAAGATATGGCGAAGGATCAGAGGACCGGATGACCATGAACGGCTCCAGCACGATCTTAACACAGTGTCGAACTGGTCAGTTCAAAACGCTCTACCGTTCAACGTAGACAAATGTCGCGTAGTACAATTACGCCATAGACATAACTACACCTACATACTTGGGACAAAGGAATTGCAGAATAGCTCCCAGGAACGTGATCTTGGTGTGATCGTACAGAGCGACCTCAACTGTTCAAAACAGGCTGAGGTAGCTGCCAAAAGAGGCAACCAGCACGTCGGCATGCTGCGAAGGGCATTCGGGAGATTTGACCCATCAATCTTCCCAATGATGCTCAATTCCTACGTGCGCCCGCAAGTTGAGTACGCAATCCAAGCTTGGCAACCTTGGTTGAAACGCGACCTAGAAGCGATAGAGGCACCACAACGGAGAGCAACAAAGAACGTGATGGGCCTGCGGTATCACTCTTACCACCGAAGGCTGAAGTTGCTGGGAATTTTCAGCGGACGCTATCGAAGGCTGCGCGGCGATCTCATATTAGCGTATCAAATATTGAGTGACCCCAACCACGTATGCCGCCATTTGCTGAAACTTAGCCACAACACGCAGCTCAGGGGTAACTGCTTAAAGTTGAAGGAACAATATAGCCGTCTAGAGTGTCGACGGAATTACTTTTCCCTTCGAGTTTGCAAACCATGGAACGCACTCTCAGACTCAGTAGTATCCTCTCCTACCCTGGATGTTTTCAAAAAACGATTAGATGTTGCCCTCAGCTCCCAACATTTTGTTACCTAAGCTCCTCTGTTGTGGATTACGCCAAGCATGTTTTCAACAGGACTAATGTATCAAATGGACCTAAGTGAGCGACCATATTTTATTTTCTCACTCCTTACCTCAACTATCACTGCGCCCCAGTGTCTTTCTGAATGTTTACGCGCGATATTTCTTTTTCATTTCACACTGATGTTAATTATCAAAGTATTCATCTCGGCAGACGTTCGATAGATGACCCACACATATTTTAATTGCATCATATTCACCGCTACCATCCTACGGGACATGTCAAGCACTTGCTTTTATCTCGTGATAAATCATTGTTCATTGAAAAATATGCACCAATGTGGTTTTAAAAAAGTGTCAGGCAAGGGAAGAAGTGGGTGTTAATTCAGTCAGTTGGTGCATTAGGTTTTCAAACTGGGTTTCTAGGTGGACTTGACCGCAAGTCGGTTGAGTGAAGCAAAATTTCGGTCCGAGAGATAAAGCTTCAAGCTGCAGCTGATTCAATGGTATACTGGATAGGTTGTATACATATCTTTCTGGATTCACTGGAAACTTGGGTTCTGGTTGACTCGGATGTAAGCTTTTTAGAAGCTTCAAATGTCTGCTTTCTTCAGCTTTTGAGCAGATTTCTTTCATGTATTACTTAAAAGGATCTCCTTGAACGGTACAAAGCTCTTCGACACTAGGTTGGTAAAGTGCACAAAGTCGCTCCAGCTCTGGTATTCAGGATTGAACAACTTCCATCAAATTGTAAACATGTGGTTTAAGGGACTTTGCAGTCGGACGCACATGACCGCCTGAGAGATTTCCAGTAGGATCTGGGATATTGACACCGCTGCACATACCCTTGTATAAATCCCATTTCCGTCTTTGCTTCTGCAAGCCTGGCGTTAAACTTCAAGCATTTGTTGAGGTTAGCAAACGCTGCGGGCTGCCTGCTCTTTTTCAACTCGTAGATAATGCCCATAGGAATGTAAGAAAACACGGCTGCAAAGAGTTTTCGGCAACTCACATCAGGCAAATACGTTTACAAGCACAACTGGGATACGCATAAGCTAATGAAAGCTGAAGCGAAAGTAGGAGAAAGTCTGAATTTATTCGCACGGAAGTTAGATTGATCGGGCCAATTTGTAAAGCCTGTGTTGTCGATGGAGGCTGACCTTATTTGACTCCACTTGACACAGTTCGCTGACCACTTCGCGAAGCAAATTGGGTCAGCAGAGAAGTGAAGTCACCTTTGGTCTCATTAATGTTCCATGCGGATGGAGCCTGATCACGGCCACGGCAGCGTGAAAGATTGCAGTAGCATTCTCTGCCTGCAAACTTCCGGTTGTGTTAAGTTGATCGCTATCGATTCCGCAATCTTAAAGTGGCGTCTATTACTCCTCTTTGGATATCGTTTTGACACAGTGTAGAAAACGTTGAAAGCATCATTGGTTAGAATTTCGTGTCCACTTTGAACCAGATGTTCACGGGTGGAACTTTTGATACTTCCGGCAGTTCCTGAGTAACAACGATATAAAGCACATTAAGTCTGCGCCCTACCATCCCGCGTCAAATGGAGTGGCAGAACGTGCAGTCCAGACTGTTAAGCAAGGTCTCCTCAAGCAGACTCGTGGAACTCTACAAACTAAGTTGGATCGTCTCTTGTTCTCTTATCGCACGACGCCGAGTGATTCGGCAGGGAAGTCACCCGCGGAATCACTGTTTGGTCGGCCACTACGAACGAGACTGCACCTACTTTTTCCGAACCCTCAAAGGAGAATGAAGGAAAAACAAGAGAAAGTGGGTGTGGATAAGAAGATGCCAGAGGAAATGTGTCTTAATGATGTTGGTCCGGTATACACAAGACTGCCTCACGAAACAAGCTGGCAACCTGCTACACTCATGTCTTCAAGGAGTAACCAAGCGAAGCTATAGCTGGAGGACGGCCGTGTGGTGCGTCGTCATTTTGACCCTGTGGTGAAAAGCGACAGTGCAGACTCGAAGCAATGAAGGTCTAGTCCTTTCGGAGAAGAGTACGGAGTCGATAACAAGGCCCACGGGAACAGTTATAGTGTTCCCTTGGTTATACCAACAGAATCTGAGATGTCGTCTGGTAGAACCATGCTAGGTGAAAATAATTGACAATTATGTTGCCCTGAACGGACGTAGGGCAGAGTTAAGATATAACTATTCCGTAGAGCATTGTGGGTTTTAGATACCCAGTTGTGCACCACCGATTTTCAGACAAAAGTCCTTTAAAAGTACCGGCCATGATCCGGGTGAAGAACTGTGGCAGATCCCGTCGTCATATACAGAAACGCAAGAGAATGATAAAAGAAGCAAAGTACAAGCTCAGTTTGGAGAGAACTAAGAGTCTAGCAAAGTGAGACGAATGCAAAAACGCCTATAATCTCGTGGGTTTACAATGTACTATGAGGTTTTTAAGCAAAAGCGTGACCAAATTTGAGGCCTTGCCCGAGAAAGTGACCCGCATCATTTCGACTTAGTCTTTCGGTACATTCCGCAACCCTTCATAGCTGTCATCCACTGCATACTAGCAATCAAGAGTGGCATCAGTAAACAATGTAAGCTGTGATGCGCACGACATGACCAAGGTGGTAAAGGGAGCAACGAGGCCGGTGGATATTCCGGTGGGTCTGCCAACAAACAGAAGCAGTGGGCATCACGTACAGAACCAAAAAGCTGCTCTATGCAAGCGCTTGGTGCGTGTGGTGGAACAGTGAGTGCAGTTCAGTAGCCGAATAGTAATTTATTTCATCATTCGAACGACCGCACAGCCAATTGACTCAAGTCAACACAATATTTGGTGAGCTATCGATTGTCTTTAACCATATGGATCTTGGGTCCAATGTGTTAAGCTCGAGTAACGTGATTGAATGCGGTCAGTAGGAAAAAGATAACATCAATAAGAAGCAAAATACCGTGTGGTTATTGATGTAGACGTCTTCTTCATATCGGGACTTGACGGTGGGCTTTTCTACGCCTTTGATTACTCGGCCAGTAGGTGAATATTCGGCATAGGTTTCCCACTGACCGAGAAGAAGCTCGCGCGGGATTGGCTCCAGATGCTCACGCCCACCGTAGTGATCCATAATTTCTTGACGAATTTTCGACTGAACATCCTCCTTAGCTTTTGCCACTTTTTTGGATAAAAGTTCCAAGCGGGTCGGATCCGCCTGCAAAATGGGAAATGGATAATGAGCAGATCAAATGACAATGAGAGTAGGTGTTAGGAAAAGAAAACGCGGAAGAGCAATGGGTTAATGGACGTTGCATGCACAGATGGAATGGTACAAAGTGCCCAACATACCAAGAGTGTGCTGGTCAACTTTCAAATACAGTGGTTGATGAGGCACGATCAGAGTGGGGAAACGTTCCAATTGCTAAAGACAGCACTCGAGAAAATATGATGACACAAACAACCACAATGCGTAGGTACAAGGTAACTATGGTGGAGCGATATCAAGGCTGGAGAGCAATGGTGCCATGCAAGGTTGAACCGAGGCAAATAGTGTGCCCGCATCGGTAGGATGAGTGAAAGTGTAACCGTTCAAAAATCCTACTCATAATTAAGTAAATACAGGTCCATTCTCATAAAGAGTACTGCTGTGGGACAAGTTCAAGCATGACCTAGGCGCGTATCAATGGACACAAAGAGAGACCAATTCACACAATAGAATAGACACCCATACAAAAAGCGTCATCCAACTAAGTAGATGTGAGAGGTATATGGGACAGTGAGTGAAGGAATCAAAAAACTAGGAAACCGGTGTCTATTAATAAGAAGTGTAAGCTTACATTCGCAGCCGTTCAACCCGCGAGCGCATAAATTGATTAGGTGACATTGGACAGGCGCACTCAACTCAATCTAAGGTTACGGAGATGAGGGGTGAACGCATACGGACGACGAAACCCACTTGCAGATGAACATCAAGACCAAGCTTGTTGTGCATTTCCCAAGCGAACACCTGACTCCGGACCATATCCTGCACTTCACCATCATAACGAACGAAATTGTCACCAGCAAAAGGCACCTCAGATTCCGGTTTTCCGGTACCTTCGAAAGGATTCTCACGCATAGCACGTGTCTTCGGATCGTAGTAAGCGCTATTCGGATCCAAGTTGAAGAGATACTTGGCGGTGTCCTCGCGAATACGCAGATTTCGGATGGACTGTCGATGTTTGCTGTCAAATTTCTGTCCAGGCATATCGAGTTCGTCCCCATACCGATCCCCATCCTCCATATCCAGATCTCACCGTCTCAGCGACTGAGAATGACGTAGGTGGCTGGTTTTTGCAGCAGAGCAGCTGGTTCCTTCCTTGTAGTGATGATAGAAGATAATAAAAACCGACATGAGATCTGTTACAATCCTGGTATACAGGGTGGAAAACACCACCATTGTAAACATAACAACAGAGTTGGCCATGACAGTGCAGAAAGCTACAGACGAGTTGTCAGCGAAAATAAAATTCCGCATAATATGCAAATAACTTAAAAATCATGCGCCAATTTTTTTTTAGAAGCGCAAGATTTTTTCCTAATCATCAGCTCTCTACTGTCAAACGGCAGAAGGCGATTAGCTCTGCGAATTCAGCGTTGACACCGAGAGAAAAAAGGTGACTCCGTGTATGTGAAACTATACACTGACGCTCGGCAACAGTTATACAAACAGGTTTCGGAGTTGATAGTAAAACCACTAGTTATCCAAATGAACATTTTGGACAAAGAAAGCGCTGTAAAAATGTGGAGTTTGTGGGCTGGAATCATCCTATAGAGGCGTGTCCATTCAAGCGAGCTTTTAAAAACATTGGGGTTTGTTATGGCACGTCACGAGCTACATGCGCAGAGGACGATGAAGAAAATCAAAAAATAGAAAACAATCGCCAGCAAGCACTCAGATAGGATGATTATCGAAATGATAACGCGACCCATCGCAGGCAACGAGAATCATAAGTAAGCAAGTATATTGCGCCAAGTATCTTTAACATGCGTAACGAACTCATCCGCTCGTCAGCAGTAGTCGAATCTACGACAGGCGAATACTAGGAGGTAGAAAACCGGGTCACTCGCGAAATTGTGCCTCCTGCAATCCTACGATTCTTGAATTGCGAGCCTATACTATGGTATATATCGTATATATACTATATATATATATATATATTTTATATTATATAGTATATTTATATATATATAGTTTAATATAGTCCGTGACTTTATTACCGCTGCCCAAATCCATGATTCGCCTCGTGGGTTTTCATGCCCTCCATAGATCCTGCATGTGGAGGGAGTGGTGCCATGAAGCACATACGACATAACTAATTGCTATGTATTCGGCAAATAAATTTGCATTATCAAGGCAATATCAAATACTCGTACTAGCCTGTACATCTCATCGTTGAGGATAAGCTATGTGTATCTCAACAAGAAGCATATGGTCCGCGAGCAGCATACGGTGAAAGTTGGATGCGTTCCACGATACTCAAGTCATCAAGTGTCATAAGTCTCACCGCTGTACAGGGAGAACCAACCGCATGTCGGCCGTGTTCAGGAGTGGAGTGGAGTAAGATATGAGGTGATTCCTTTCCTCTTGTACCAAAGATATTGTGGTGCTGTGAAGCCGGTTTCTGGCGTTTGTAAAACAGCGAAATATCTTCGAATGTTCAGATGCCAGTGAGCTGATTAAGGCAGATTACCGGTACAGCTATGTTGATCGGATAGCTACTGGTGTCCTTCGTTATCAAGAAGCAACAGGACTAGTAGGTAAATGGTCGTCCTTGTAACCTAGTTTGAAGATGCAAAATCGCAGCGGAAGCCATGGTTCATTCTGTCACCTCCTGAGTGTCAAAATGAAAAAGACGTTATCGTCCAAACGCAACTAGATTACTTTCTTCGAAATCGAAACTATTCCCACAATGGAATCCACAGTAAAGCTACAGAGATGTAGAAAACGGGACAAGTGTGACTCGCGAACGCTTTATGTAGGAAGGGCCGTCCTCGACAATTAGGCTGTTGATCCTGAAAACAGCATGATGTTCAACAATTTATAGGATGCAGATGTCAACTTAATGGGGCTGGCGCCTTCCGAGCTTGATTTCGGGTAGAGGGAATGGGCTTAGTATGTCTGAGATTACATGTAGGCACTGCATTCAGTACAGTATAGTAGTGTAATAAACAGTCTGTACATCACCACCTGCCAGAAACGTTTCCGCTTCTTGTCGGTAACCCGTTCACAAATGGGCTGGGGATGAGTACCATTGTCCGTGGTTTAAAACTGATGTTGTCCTTTATCCAGGTTGGAGACTACTACTGTTGAGGGTTGCTACAAGTATCGTATTCCGGCCCCTATTTGGGCTTTATCTATCTTTGTCCAATATATCAAACACTCTGTACTAATAAGGTGGTTGTGCAAAAGAAACCTGGCGACTTCGCTCAGGGCGGTGACTGTTGAAATGTGTTGTCCGGATTGTTATCCGGAGAACATTAAGTTTTAGGTCTGTGTCTCTTCATCTAATCAAGCAGTGTTACTTGCACACGTTTTGAATGCGAAGGACGATTCAGGTGTAGGGAGAGACTAACTGAACTATCCCTCGCACTGCTGACTGCTCCAACTCGCTTAGAAGGCGTTTCCTTAGTCATGAAGTGAGGGGGGGTGGGGGGGGGGGGGGGGTGTGGGTCGCAGTGCTTTACCCTTGATTTGACAAATATGACGATTCACTTCTGCGATCAGTGGATCTTCAAAGCGATGAAAGAAGGTAGTTGAAGTTCCTTGGTCCACAGATCAAAACTCCGCTATCAAACTCATGAGCACGATCGGTCCGGCTGAGGTTCAAGGTTGGTTTTGGTCGCGGCAAACCCGACAACATGGTCCGACCGCGTTATGCCTCAGACGCGGCAGGCGCCCAGTCAAACTGATGCAAGCCCGCCAACTCCCACTCGCATTCTGGAACGTGGTCGAAAGTGGCGACAATCTACTCTGGTCGTGGAAATCATGTGAATTTTTCAAGCTCTTCAAAAAGCTTGCTATGTGTAAGACCTCAAAACACGGATCCAGGGATCATTTACAAAATCACACTCCCGGAACTGGATCGTGCTCCCCCACTGTTTTGTGCGTCACGGCTATTGAGCCTAAGTCTCTCCGAGTGGAGTCCATCAGAGCGAACCTCCATATACCCCCCGACTGCCTTTGTGGGTTTAGAACTGATTGAGTCAAAGGCTATAGGAAGAGCACCTCGAATAAACACCCCTCCATCGTAATGGACAAGCCGAAGAGAATCATTTGCCATCCTCGACCTCATTGACCAAAACTTCCTGTTGTTTCTCTCTCCCTAACTATGTTCATCGTCTACGGGCGCCAGCGTGACATTCACTGACCTCGTGAAGCCGTTGCCAGGGATACATTAAACTCGTCACTCAAACTTAACAATCTTGCTTTCAAAATTGGTTCGTGTTAACCGCCCGGCATTTTTGAGTCAGATCGGTCAACAGAAAGCACTGACTCTCCACTTTTCACTCTCTTGGTATTGATTGGTGATGTGTCGCAAAACCGCGCGGTTACAGTGTGAAAGCATTCATTTTGACGGAGTGTCGACGCCCTTGATTTCGAATCTTGTCGACAATGACTACATTTCAATCTTTGGAGATATCAATAATCATGCCTTACAGATATTTATGGTGTTGATATCGGCCATTCGCGATGTAAGAACAATGTTGAAGCAATCCATAATCGAGTGGATATCGTGTGATCCAGCCCTCAGTTCGAGTGGTTCGACTTCTCGATACTCAACTAGGGTTAATAAGCCCCCAGTCCAAGACAGGTGCCTTGCATCGCTTCCGTGTTACACTCCTATTTATCAGAGAGATTCAGGGAGGGTATCCACAAGTGCTTTTTTTTCATTGAGCGCTTCTCCCTCTACTCCGTATGGCGAAAAAAAAGACTCAGCACGATTGTTGCCGGTGACTTGAATGGCCCAGTGGGGTCGTTCTTTCGACTTTTGAAACACTTGGAAGACCACTTCGGGGTTCATGCCACACTGAACAGACAATGACTCAGAGACATTCCTGTAGCTGCGGTGGGTCACAATCCGTTATCTTACAACACTGCGTCCAGCAAAAGCGCTACATCATGCTCACCGGGAAGCTCCAACCGCATTTTCTCCTGACAATAGGACATGGCAACAGATGGTTGCAATCAGTCCAAGACTGTCGGCTCAATTTAGAGTAAATACCTGGCATATGACTTTCGGTCCGGATGTGCTAGGAGTAACGCTACTTTTTTTTCGGCTTCACCGAGAGTGCGAATTCTAAGTTCCTACTTGGAACCAGGGACTTCAGATTAGTAACATAGCGATTACCGCGGGCGAATAGACCCATCAATTGCCAATAACAAATAAGGTTGGTAAGCCGAATGTCAAATGAATGATGTCAAGCTACTATGAAGAATGCTATTACGACTCCTGATTCTAACCAGTTGACTCGCCCTATATGTGAGTGGATTTCGGAAGCATCCATCAGTTTGATCATAAGCACGGAACACAAGGTTCTTATGAGGTACTGGTTTCAATGAATCTGGTTACGCGTTGTTACTGACGACTTGTAAAACGTCTTCGAATTGAAAAGGAAACGTCTGCAGCCCCTGGTGCAGTGATAGGAGCCCGTGAGATGGAGAATGCCTAGTGCGGAATGGGGAACAATACTGAGGACTGTTTCAACCACGAAACCGGAACAAGATGCCTTACAGCTAGTGAGGCCACTTGGACAGTTGATCCGTTCCACGCCGCAAGGACTAGTCTGTTGATTGTAATATTATGAAAGATGCAGTTCAGCAGACTGCCACGACACTAGCCGCCTGCCGAATCCCCTGGAAACCACTTTAATATAAATTCGATATGAAGTAGCTGCGTTGAAACAAAACATGGCTTCTGGACTTGACGATCCTCCTCCATTTTGTTGAAGATGGAGGTGACTCATCTGTTGACTGGGTTTCCGTTCTATGCAAAACTATTTTGCGACGCTGAAGTAACATGCGTCACATTAAGCACCTGTTGATTGTCCGTCCGAGTCTTCAAAAATAGGTTGTTATGTCGAACTTCGTGGGGAAAAATCCACGAATTATCCCTTGTATTTTCACTGCCTCTAATTTTCAACGGGTATCATATATTACCTTGATGACTTAATGGTCCTTGTTGCAGACAAAATGAATGATAAACCCGGCTGACTTCCGTTCTGCTCGTGGCTGACTGACCACACAGACGC